CGTTCCGGCTCCGTAGGATGCTTCAAGCACCAAGGAGACCAGATCTGCTCGCCTGAGCTTTTAACGAAATGATTACAAGGATTGCACTAGGTGTGCGGTCAATATCGACCCGTCTATGGAAACCTAATTTGTTCCATTAATGAGCTTTGGCTTTATGGGTCGCATAAATAAAACGTGGATACGCAGAGGAAGGAGCCTGCTGCAGAAGTACAGGTGGGTTGCACGGGGAGGTGAAAACAGCCGTGTTCTTCCCGCACGCAGACCCTGGGGATGCCCAGGAATTTATCAACATTAAAGGAGGAAGAGGCGGGAATAAATTCCGCGTCGCCCGCGGCGGCGGGTGGAAATCAAGCCGTGGAATTACCTGTTGGTCGAGGGGAGACGAAGCTCAAGTTCTGATGCCCCCCTGGCACACGGTGGATAAGCTCCTGTAATGCGGAGGCGCGGGGCACTAATGGACAACATCTGCCTGAGAATATTTAAGAGGAGGCCGAGGACCGCGCTGCGGGGGAGTGTTCCCGGGCTGTGGGTAGAGCGAATTCTTCCTTCCCATGTTTTGTCCCTGGAAGCAAAACATGCAACATGAGCCGGCAGGTGAAAACAAGGAGGTGACAGGATTAAGGTTCATCGGATCCACTGATGAGTAAATACGACTGGATGCAGGGACCTGCTTGGAGCGGACAGGTCCCTGGGGATATCTGCCCGGGAGAGTTGATCTTCTCCCTCTCTCCCCCTCTCTCTCTCCCCACCTCTCTCTCTCTGTGCCTCCCGGCGGTGGCCATGGGGCTACGCAGCTCTGCTTCCCAATGCCCCTCGGTCACGTTTCGGCCTTGGACTCCATCAGCCTCCGATTGGTCTTTTGAAACCGTGAGCCAACATGAAATTCTCTCCCTGTTTGAGTCGGCGTTTCCAAACTGTGACAAAGAGACGTGGGCAGAACAGTTAGAGGAGAAAGGTTTATCGGGGGACTCATGGTTTCCATCGACGGCCAAGTCCATTCCTGGGGGCCCAAGTGCGAGGCAGGGCATCGTGGCAGAAGGGCCGGGTGGAGGAAAGAGAGCGCTCGCTGCACGGTTCAGGGCAAAATGCGCACCCCAAAGGCATGGTCAGTGCAGGGTTGCGTTCACCAAGGGTCTTAAATGAAGGACCTCAGCCGCTCACACTTCAACTGCTCTTTCCTCCAAGACTCCTGCTTCTCCTGACAGTCTCCAGCCTCCCACCTGGGCCTTTGGTTCAGCCTCCACCAGAACCTCATGAAATCAATGCTCTGCCTTTGTGGGGTTTTTTTTTTTTCCTTCCATTCACTGTTATTTTCTCATTTAACCATCAACCCTGCTTTCCTCCTGCCCCGGCAGCGCCCGACCCAGATATCAATGCACGCCTCCGACTTGTTTCAAGTCTCCCCTCCCCTCTCCCAATCGCTTTCCTACCAAACATGTTGGGAAAAGGGTGCCTACAAAATAGGGCACGGCCGGCCGTCTGTCCGTATCATCTGTCCCTCCTTCCCCTCCCGGGAACACATTGGTATTCCCATCGCTATAGCAACCAGAGTCTAGGCCGGGCTCCTCCTGACTTGATGTGCATGTCAATCCCCGGGGAATGTCCTCAAAATGCACATTGGGTTCAGTTGGTCGGATCGAGCGTGAGATCCGCATTTCTCTCTCCCTCTCTCTCTCTCACACACACACACGCGCACGCGCACACACACACACACAAGGTTCCAATAGTTCCACGTTGTCTGAACTCGTTCCTGTGTTGACATGGAAAAATGGAGGCTGGGGAAGTCAACGTGGGATTCCTCCATCAGATTCCCAGAATATCAACCCCCAAGCTCACAGTAGGTCAGGGATGTGCGTCACTACGTGTGCTCAGACACTTATGCGAGTTGTGCTTTAAGAACCAACGAAATCCCCGAATGCCCACCCTGCTCTGTGCCCACTAATAAGGAACAGTGTGGATTCTGCTCAGGGAGCGGCAGCTACCTAATGACACACGGAGATGTGTTCGTTCCTGCTTCGCGTGCCCATGTGCCAGGTCTAGTCCTGGGCTGTACCTAGAAACTGGTGATTCTGCCCTCTTCCCTTGACCTCTCTGAGCTTCATTCATATGCAGGAAAAGCTCTGGGCAAGAAACTCCCCTATAAATGATCTCTTTATAGATTTTTTTTAAATATCTACACAGTGGAATATTACTCAGCCATAAAGAAGACTGAGCTTATGGCATTTGGAGGTAAATGGATGGAGCTGGAGAATCTCATGGTAAGCAGAGTCAGTCAGTCCCCAAAAATCAAAGGCTGAATGTTGTCTCTGATAAGTGGATGCTGATCCATCATGGGGGAGGGAGGGGGATGGAGGAACTTTGATGGGGCAAAGGGGAGGGAGGGCTGAGGCGGGAGCATGGGGGTAGGAAAGATGGTGGAAGGAGATGGGCCTCAAAAAACACGGAGTTAACTTTTCTAGGAGCCTATAGACATTTTAATGAAAATTTTGTCATGTATTTCTTCCGCTCACTAATTGCACTCTTATGCATTTGGGCATTCAACCACCGAGTACCTGTGGAGTGTTCCGTTACGCGCACAATGCTAGGGGAAATTCACAACTGGTAATGACTGAGCTGTTTTCTCCATTTTTTAGCCTCGATTCCATGGCGGTCTTTTCTAGCACTTTCAGAACAATCGGCGTCGTGGTAGAGATGTCAAACACACTTGCTTTATTCTTGATACAGTGGAAATTTCTTCCATGGCTTTATTACGAGGAATAAGGTCTGCCATTTGACTGTGGATAATTCTCGAATGATGATTTATTGACACTTCTTTTACTTCTTAATTGAGTGTAGCTGTTTTATTAATGTAGCATGCACGTGGAAATTTGTCAAATCACTGTATCTGGTGAGAACTTTTTTTTTCCCTTCCTCTAGGCAATTCACACAGGGACCCAAATTTAGAATTTTACTGTTGAATAATTCAAATCCAAATATCAAAAGGTGAACAGACCAACAGACATCAGAACCCAGGAGATAATTATTGAGAGATACATGAATAAATTACGTGAAAATCGTACGTATAGTCTATATATCTATATTACATGGAAATTTATATATAGTTTATGTGTTACTATATATTCAATTATACATAAGTGTATTTATATACATTTATCTGTATACGATACACACATCATGGTCATAATTGTCTAAAAGTCCAATGTAGGGAACTGAAAAATTACTATGAAACGTGAAAAAAAAATTCATTAAAATGTCTACAGGTACATACAAAGTTTATATAATTAAAATTATTTATAATTCTTCATGATATGTTGATATCATGAAAAACTTAAAAACTGATAAAATTCATTCATAATGGCGGCAAAGAAGTCTAATACCTAGAAGTTGTGGGAGACATACAAAAACTACACATTAACCTTCTGGTGTGGAATCAGACGTAAAATGCTCCTGAATGGGGAGATTAAATCCTACGACATATAAACAATGCATGTGTTAGTCAGTTTTTCCTTGCTGTGACCAAAAGACCCAACAGGACAAGAAGAACTTAGAGGGGGAAAAGCTTATTTTGACTTGGAGTTTCCGAGGTTCAATCCGTGGTGGGCCGACTCCATGGCTCTGGCCCAAGGGGAGCAGAACAAGATGGCGGCAGGGCCTGGAGGAGGAGAGCAGCTCAGGACAGGGCACCAGGGAGCAGAGAGAGCTCTGCCCACCAGGGACAGGACAGAGACCCC